TTGTTTGCTTAATACAGATTAATTAGAATAGTTTCGAACTTAAAAAGCTATCACATCTTATAGAACAAACAGTTTTCTATAAACTGGTATACTTGTTCAATTTTCGCCTGCTCGTCTTCACTCTTTTAGACACGTTTTTCAGATAGCCCCGAAATCAATGTTTTAGGCTGTGTGTAACTTATAACGAATCAACGTTCAGAGTCGAGATACCTTTCGTTTTGTAGAGAAATGAAACTTAATTATCCAGTTGCAATTTTAGATTAGTTTGTAGCCTTATTGCAATAATTATTTGAAAAAGAGCGCAAAAAGGAGACCGTTAGCCGGGCAAGCCGCGAAGTTGATGTACTCTCACACTACTACAAAATTCAAGAAATAGCATCATCCTCTTATCGATCAAATTGCACAAGCAAATATCATTCTCTTCTAGAGAAAAGGTCTGTAGATTACAATTAGTTCGCGCATATTCAACATCGTCTTACATAAATAATCCTAAATGTACACTATATATAGCTACGCGCAGGTATTTATCGTTCTATACTTTAGTGGTAGCAAAAGAGTATCATAACTCTGTCAGGCGTAACGCTTATCTCAAATCAATCAAACGAAATTGATATATCGTTTTTTAGTAGTATTACATGCAAAGAAGCTCTTGAAATATGATCGGCAGATATATCATCTGTCTTTAATGACCATGCACCTTGGAAGGAACTCAAACCAAAATCTGTTTCCTCAAGCATAGTCGCTATTACTATACCATACGTTGTGTATGCGTAATTGACATTTTCAGTCTAAAAAGCCCCCAAAAAAACTGTGCGAAATCTGTCGTAATCTTTAAAAAGTGGCATAATGTAGTGAAACGGATGCTTAAAAAAGACAAAAATGAACATTTTGAATGTATGGTACCTTCCCATGTTGTGTAAATCGCTCTAAAATCGTCGGTTAACCGCGGTTCTTACAGCTGAAACCATAGCAACACCGCTTAAAAACCGACGGTTAAGCGTCCAGTTAACCGGAACGCCCAGTTAACGGGGCGCTGAACCGTCCGTTTTTATGCGATGTTGCTATGGTTTCAGCTGTAATAACCGCGGTTAACCAACGGTTTTCGAGCCTTTTACACAACATGGGTTCTTCCACCAGTCCAAGTACCTTTTTGGCCGCTGCCAACCGCATCTGCAAGAGAAATCACACTCTTGGAGCTACAGTTACTAATGGAACAATCATCGCTTCTACCAACCAGGAAAAAGCGGATCTCCTTAGTCATCAATTCTCATTGTTTTTATAAAGTACTTTTTTGGTTGTCAAACATTAGACTTTTATGGTTGTCGTTATTTAGGTTTCTTTTTCTCCTCTGCCGTATAACACATTAATCTTTTTGCAACCGAGAGAAGTTACATAAGTAAACTTCTATTGCATTTTAACAATGTTAGTTGGGATAGATTTTTTTCGTAAAATTTGCTCTTTCGCGTCTGATAAAAAATCTGCTGCTGTGCTAATGAAGAAAGGTCCCCAAGTGTGCAATAGATTTTTTTCAAAATTTAGCCTTAACGATCTTTCCTCGTCAGAACCCATGCTGCATTTTAAGGACTCGGACTCGCAGTCGGCTTGCACGCTTGATGAGTTGGATCCGGACTCATTCAGCCCTGATGCTGAGTGATAACGAAAGACAATATGAAACACAATGCTCTAGAAATGCAATAAAAATTTATACATCAATTTTATTAGGAAATAGTAACACAGAAATGGAATTTCTGCTGAAATCTATACCATGTATATATAATATAATCACATAATGTAAGAACGCACTCAGTCAAAGAAAACCACTCAGAATAAACTGTGAACACTATGTAATGGAAATCAAACGAGGTTAACGGACTATGACGGAAATCAGATGAGAAAAACGGTTTGTGAAGGATAATCGGTCGAAAACGACAGACTGTAATGAAAAAAATAGCAACAGAATCCCATTTTCCAACTGTCTCTTGATTAGCGTTCAACTAAGACACCCCACTTCATCGAGTATAGTCACATTAAGCATACCTTTTGAACGTACGGTTTTTCCATATTAGTCTATAAAATACGTACCTTTATTACGCGAATCCGACATCCACGTACTAGGTGTATGCGTGATAAAAGAAAAAAATGAAAACAAACCGGCAGCCCTGTTTTGGAGACCCTTTCCTTTCAGTCCAGGAGATATTATACTATATAAGGAATGATATGTTCCTAGGAGTGTGGATGATATTTCTATCATTCTTCTAAAAAAGGTGTTTTTCTACTTTAGCTGCACCATATATTCGAACTTTCAACAGATAGTGGGACGTTTCCTGACTTATACAAACTCGCTTTTGTAAATTCTACGCACAAAAAAAGGTGCAAAAGGCTTTGTATCAAACTATGGACCTATCTCCTTGCTCTGAATTATTAGTAAAGTTCCTAAAAGGTTTATCTAAGATCGACTTTTTAAGTGCTTGAACGAAAACGATTATTTTCTAACAACCAATTTGATTTTTGTCCAAAATCATCTACACTGGACATCCTTGCCCAGAGATGTAACCAACGACTGGACGGTTTAAACCGATCTACACCGGTCCCGGCCCGGTCCGGTCGGAGAAAAAGACGTAAATCAGCCGGTTGATCGGTAGACCGGCGACCGATGGCACTTGGCTGGCCCGGTCTGATCCAAAGTTTTTAGACGAGTTATCAGCCCGATCGACAAAAATCTTAACCGGTTACATCTATGTCCTTGTCTGCTTCCTTCACAAATGAACATCATACTTAATCAAACAGAGGCCACCCATCGACTGAGTTCCGCACTTAATAGTGTTGAAGCTTTTTATAGTAATTTAAGATGAGCAGATTATATCAAAGATCTTGCGGATACCTGCAGACAGTATAGTACATAAATAATATAATCCTAATTTTCTTGTATAAAAACAACATCATTTGTCTACTTGTTCTATGACTGCTGATTCTATTCCCTGTCGGTTTTTGAACTTTAGACGCTGGACAATATTTTGAAGTCACATCACACTTCTTCTTCATTGCGGTGATATCAACATGCCAAGTTTGTTTATGTAAGTCATACGGCCCATTGTTGATTATGTGATGTACAATTTTTAAATTCAGTATTTTTAAATTCAAACCATATATTTTTGTATGAAATCCATATTGCTAAGTAGCACACACGGTATGAATGTACATTCATATTGTGTGTTATTGATAATTCAAGGTACCGCAATAGAAAATACTAATTTAAAAACTCTTGTTCAGTCGTTACAATATTATAACTGTCCAATATATTACAGACACATATCATAATTGTATATCATAGTCAAACTTATTTAATTCAATAGCATTTCTACCATCAAAACGTATAATCTTTCTTTACATAACAGATATGGGCAAAATTTTTCGTTTGTCCAGGGACACACGGACTAGGAGGTCGGTTTGTTCACGGATACGGATGGACTTGGACAGAAAAAAGTTGGGTCATACAGATCTCTAGTATGTGGACATGTAAATTAAAATCTAGAAAAATTTTAAAATCTTCTAGATTTTAGTTTACATCCAAACAGGAAGATGGTTAATAAGATTTCTTTTCGTAGAATAGTGTCCCTAGTGGAACTTGTAGTAACTAAGATCTGCACTCCCTGAATTTTTTAGTAAGATCTTGACTCAAGATATTGGTAGGAAAATGTAAGAAATTTCAAGAACCGAAGATCTAAAATGTCTTGAAACTCGTTGAATTCTTTTACCAAGATCTGGATAATTCTTGAATCACCTTTTTGTTTCACACTCTTGCTTACATATATCTAGGAAAATTTTCTCACTCACCATGAGTTTGAAATTTCCCTATCTTGAAAATAGTTGCTTAAGAGTGAACCTATGACCACATTTGCTTGTATTTCCAATGATTATGGCTGTCATATAAGATAAAAAAAATGTAAAAACATTTTCATCACAATATTTTAAAACATTCTGACTCCATTCACCCATGATCTTGAGTGGAAGATTCAAGAATGTATGCTTGATCCACTCTATTATTGTAAAGAGCGACATTATATATATATCATAGATCCCGATGATTTTTCTCATTTTAAACATTGCGTTGTCATAAAGCAAATTTTGACATCATTTCCATTTCTGATGAGAGTAAATTCATAAGGTGTTGAGATTTCTTTCCAATGGCACATAGACATGCATCAGTTAAAACCAACGTGTGCTTTAAAAAGCATTTATATTTTCGACAATGTTAGCTATAAGAAATCTTTGATAATATCAAATTATCGCACAAAACCTGCTCTACAGAATAGTATATTCAAAAACTTTATAATATCTTTAAATCAGAAACATATGATCATTTTATTAAAAAAAGACCAGTTATTAACTGAACACACTCTCGAAATGTTATTTGTTGCTTAGTTAAGGACGTACTACTTTTTAAGATCTACTTAAATCATTGGGCCAAAATCTTTTTAACAATACAGTTTCTGGAACTGCTCTTGAAAGGATGTTACAACTTATTGTACAAGGAGAGGTCATGTAACTCTTTTGGATTGGCTGATTTTGTTCAGCAATACGCTCTTCGTCTAGCAGGTCACAAGTTATGTGGTTTTTACATTATTTCCTATCATATCAAATATTTTTGTTTTTTAGTTGATAATTAAGTACAGTACTGTTATTGACTGCGAAGTGTCTGTACTAATATTTACGTAACGTATCTGTTTATGTGAGAAAACACGAGATTAATTTAATCACTCTAAATAATAAAAAGCGTCTAAGACAAGCAGACGTTACTGTAGAATATGTAACACAAAAGTTTTGTTCTTTTCTAATTTTAGATAACCTGCGTCATTTTTTTTTTGTTATTATATTAGAATATGATTATTCATACGACATTATTCGTCATTCTTTACAACCGTGACTCGTACAAAACGTAAATAAAATATTTTAATGAGAAAATATTTGTTTGTATTATTCATTATTGTTTTTATTTTCAGATGAATAACGACCAACTAACAGGAAGTTCAACAAATGAACTCGCCCCGCTAGTTTATCGTCCGCCTCGACCGGCTGTTCTTCAAGACAATCGTTCCAATCTTCGACGCCAATTAGCTGTTTTGGCTATTTTGGTAGGATGTTTCTTTGAGCGATTAGCGTTCTACAGTCTTGCTGGTAATTTGGTGGTATTTCTCAGTTCAACAGATTCAAATTGGAAACAGTTTAATGCCGTTACAGCGTCATTTATCTTCTTAGGTAAGTTCAAATAGTACATTAGAAAACTGTTGTTGGCACTAGTATGACTAAGTATTGAAATATTATATATATTAAGTAATTCCGGAAAAATATGAAGTTTTTTAATATACTTCTAGGTTTTGTTTAACTTATGAAAAGAAAATATTTCTTTTTGTTGTATTATGCTAGGTACAAGTTATATCTCTGCACTCATAACCGCTTGGCTTAGTGACGCAAAATTGGGTCGTGCCAAAACAATTATTTTGGGATATATTTTTTATTGTCTTGGCTATTGTGTTTTTCCTCTTTTTGCACGTGGAAAAATCCGTCAGTTTTGTCCTTATGTTTCTCTGAAACATGATAATATATTTCAAGAACCATGTAGTTACGTTTTATTGCCAACGTTGATTTTTATTGGTCTTGGAGTTGGAGCCGTACAGGCGAATACAGCTGTGTTTGGAGCTGAGCAAGTTCAAAATTTAGGCGCAGCAGAAACATCAGCTTATTTTAATAAATACTATGCAGCAGTTAATTTCGGTGGTCTATTAGCCTTTGGCGTAATTGCCTACGTTCAACAAAATGTCGATTTTTTCTACGGTTATGTTATACCTGCAACTCTGTTAATAATAGCTGCTCTGTTATTTATTGGTGCTTATCCGTTGTATATTCATTCTCAGCCATTTGATTCTGTTATTACACTATTTATTCCTGTTTTGATTAATGCCTTTCGATCAAAACGTCAACATTCACGTGAAGTAGTTCAACAGCCACAACAAATATCGGCAGATGAAAATTCTGTATTAACGCAACAATTTGATTGTAGACTTACTAGTACAGAAAAAATAACATTTATTGATTATGCACGTGCATCAAAAGGGGGAAAATTTATTGATAGAATTGTTGATGATGTCAAATCATTACGTTATATTATTGTTGTTTTTGTTTTGTTAATTCCATATTGGTTAATCTATTTTCAGGTATGTAAACTAAGAATTATAGTTTGAACCAGAAATATATTTTCTTTAATATTTAGATTGAAACTACCTTTCTTGTTCAAGGATTACATATGAGAATTCCACGATTTGGGGCTAGTCAACGTATGCCAGCTATTTGGCTGTCACTTGGCGATCAAGTGATTATTATTTTAATGATTTTATTTTTAAACACAGTTATTTATAAGCGCTTAAATTCAAGTGGAAGAGCAATTAAAATTGAAACACGTATCGTTATTGGAATGGTCTGTGCTACGTTAGCCATGTGTGCATCAGGCTTAATAGAAATATTTCGTGTTCAAACATGTCAAAATTATCCCACAGTAACTCAAATAATCGGTATGATTTTCATTTCATCGAACTATTCTTTTTGATAAACCATTTTCTTTCAAAGGTAATACAACATATATAGCAGCCGATTTTACAATATTTGCTCAATTTCCACAGTATATTGCTGTTGGTCTCTCAGAAGTATTTGCTTCTGTTGCAAGTATGTTAGTTTCAATTACCATAAATAACAAAACAATAGTTATTTTCATTCATTCTAGGTCTTGAATTTGCATATCTATCTGCTCCACGCTCCGCTCAGTCTCTCATTATGGCTTTACGATTTTGTTCTTCGGGTATTTCATCATTCTTAGGATCAGGTTATGTCAATTTATTCATCAAAATAGCTCCCTCGTTTGATATTCAACCGTATGAATGTAAAACTAAGCAACCTATTTATTTCTATATGTATTTTTATATTCTGGCTGCTTTACAAATTTTGTTCATATTCATATTTCTATTTTTCAATAAAAAGTTTCATATACTTAAAATTGTGCCACAGAGATTTAGCTCAAGATTATTTTCATGTACCGATTCAGGCTCAACAAAGGCCTAAAAATGTATTTAGTTTTTGTGGTTGTTAAATTGTTTTAATGTTGTACAGAAAGAAAATTTGTGTTTTTGTATTTTTTTTATATGATTGCAAGTCGAAAGTTGGGAAAGAACAAAAGAAAAATGATTGTTTATTAAGCAAGTTTGGCTAAGTAGAAATAAGAGTAACTTAATTATTTGTCACTTGGAAATAACATTTGGTCACATCCAGTGATTATGATCTTTTTTTTTTTGAACTATATGTAAGAGGCCTAATGGGTATGGCAGAATGAATGACACAGTATCTCCACATTTTCAAGTTTTTTCCTCTCTCTTAGATTCTCTTGAGTTTATTTTCTTTTGCAAAAGATTCGCACATCATTTTCTGCCAAAAACGTCGAACATTTTTCTATATACTGTAACAGCAAAAAAATATCGATGCAGTATTGCAAAGTTTTAATCTTAACAATTTTCTAATTATTATTTTTCTTTTATTGATTCTATCAAAAATTAGTATTTTCGTACTGTAGTTTGGACACAGTTAGAAAATTTTTTATAACTTGACGAACATCCAACGGTTTGAGATCGTGTTTGCTTTATCTTACAGCAAAATAATTGTTCTATCACATCCGAACAGAGAAAATTCAATAACTTCGTTTCGTTTTCTGTGCCAAGGTGAAAAGTTTTTTCTCCTTTTCGGCTGGAGTTTTGATAAAATTTGAATGATCTGACGCTTATCCGAGTGAGTCTAAGAATTTTCCTGCAAAAAATTGCAACAATAATGTTTTGCTATTTATTTAGTTTAGAGAAGTGTCAACTATGCTCATCTAAAACAGCAGTTTTTTGTTGACTGTATTTGTCTCCTGCCGCTACGTTAGGAGTGAATTTTTTAGCACAAGGCTATAATTAAAAAATTTTCTGACCGTTCCTCTTTCATCATAATAAATTGATTATTGCCTAGATCGATCGAGAAATATTTACTACGTGAAAGAAAGAAAAAAGTTTTGCTTTTTCCTTCCTGTTAACAAGCTTTTAACTTCAAAATTGATTAAACACCATTTTTCTATTAAGTTTTCAATGCTGAATAACAAAAAAATATTTTGAAATTTGTATACACTCCAAAAAGAAACGTCTTTTAAAAGACCAAAAGGGCTTTTAGTTTTTGTTCTAAACCTGAAAAGGATTTATTTAAAACGTGAAAAACTAAAAAGCGTTTTATAATCACTACAAAATGCTTTGTTTTTGCAGGCACCCGTATCTCTAATTTTTTGTAATAATAATTCGGTATTGTAAAATACGGTTGGAGTTTCTGAATTAGCAGAAAATACCAACACAGCTTTCGGTCTTCTGCCTAACCCTCTTCGGTTTATCTGTTTTCATCGAAGAACCGAAGCTGATTTAGTACAAACCTTTTTTGCATTATTAAAAAAATCCAACCGTTCTGCAGCAATACTATTAAATCATCGCATATTTCGTTTTTTCCAAAAGTAAGTAATCGGTTTTGTAAGCAATCAAGTTGAATTTTTATAACATACCCCTACAAAAATATATTTTATCGACACTGGTTGTGCATGGGTGCACACCGATGCCGAATAATTGTTTTTTGGGGCACCGATGCGCATCGGTGCCGAAGTTTTGTTTTCAATCACCATTTTGTTTTGTCAATTTCTGTCTATATTAACGCTACAGTCTACTTCTAATATTTCGAATGTCTTTCTGACTTCATCTTTTCCTTCTCATAAGAGAAGTGC